ATCTTCTGGCCCATGCACTATGCACTCCAAGAAAAGCGGCGATCTGGCGGATATCCAGTTGGTGTCACTGGAGGCGGACCGTCGCCCTGGGTGTCGTGTCGCGGGTGTAAGGGACCATCCGTGTTGCATCGGATGCGAACCGTTGATGCGGAAAATGCGTCTCCGAAAGGGCTCTGGGTGCGGGTCTCCTTTCAAGTCAAACGGCGGAAGGTCTCCTTGAAGCGGCACAAGGAAAACATCAAGTTCTGGAAGGAGTCCAGGGCGAAATCCTCCGTCACGGTGCGCTGCGCGACCGTGGCATCAGCTGGAAACTGCTCCTGACGTCGCGACCGTTGCGGTGGGGGAGGTCTCCAGATGTGAGCCTAGCTGCATGTGAGCCTATGGGCGTCAATATCTGGCCAGCTTATGCCAACTTTCCACCAGCAGACTAAGGCAAAGTCAGTTTCTCAAGAAAGTGTTCCCTTAGATGTTTGGTTCATGAGCGAGTGCAACTTTTTGAGCTCTTGCATGCTCTTGCGAACACATGTTTTACTCTGGCTGAACGGAATGCGTTGCCGCGTCCAAACTAGCTCAGAATCACATGCCTCTTTTCGCAGCGTCCTGGCTGGATAAGCCCCACCAAGAGAAGTGCTCGGCCAGGCGGTAGTAGCTCCAGCCTGCAGGCTCGAGAAAGCATTCGGCTCAAACAAAGGCCTATCTGAAAGATCAGCGTCATTGGTTTGTTAGAGCACTTCTGTAGTTTTCACAAGGGGTGCACTAAATCTGACGTTTAAAGCTGCGACATCGAAGTGGATGCCTCCAGTCACATACAATGGTGGTCCTCTCCCGATCCCTTCCTCCCACCAAGAGCATTGCATTTTGTCAGATCTGCTCTCCCAGTTTCAGCCTTCCCATCACCCTAATTAGTCTTGATAAAGGAGCATCGACAATAACACAAGACCGGCTAAAACTCCGACTGTTCATCCTAATTCACCGAAACAGAGGTGCTCCACAGCCGAAACAAAGCAAGGCAGTGAATTATTCACTTCGTAACCCGCAAAAGCCCAAGTCCGACTCAAAGACTCAAGAAGATTAGTAGCGTCCTTGCTCCTAGTAGCAATGCCAGGAGCTACTAGTAGCTACAGGTCATTGACCAGAACAACCCTTTTGGATCCTGGAATCCCAGGTGGGCCGGCCTTCGTCTCGCGGCCCCGCGGCCGCGCGTGTTTGACCACCGGAGAAGATCAGCAAGGCAGTGGGGTCGAAGGCAGCGAGTCGAACGCCGGCGTGGATGTGACTCACCAAGGCCTGCGGTCGGTGACGGATTTTGGTTTCGGGTGTGAAGAGACGGTTGAATGTGTGAGAAGGGACTCCTTTCACCTCTTTCGAATCCTTTCAAAAGCCGCTTCACCCATCCGTGTGTTGCGTGTTGAGCTCCGCCTTTACCCTGGAAGATTGGACGTGGAGAATGGACCCCAATGCGCACACAGGATTAAGTACCCACCCGCTATTAATCAATTCCAGCTCGACCCCCCCCAATACTAAACTAATTTAACACCTAGATTTCCATCTTGGCATCACCCTGATAACTTTTTCCTAGGCAGAAACCTCCCCCTATTAATCAATCCCAGCTGCCCCAGAAAAAAATACTATTGTATTTAATTTATGATTATTTATTATGTACTTTCTTTTTGGCTAGTATCCAATATCTTCTGGTCCCTAAAAACCTCTCTAGCAAAGTTCTATCATTTTCCCTTATTAAAACTCTACCAAATTCTTAACGTTTTCTAATGTTTTCTAGCTCACAAAGGGTACGCCTCTCACAGGCCTCAGTGTTCACACAGAATCATATCAACCATCATCCATCAGGTCATCACCTTTATTAAGGGGATGTGGTCTCCATATACCGCCAATCTCAAACCTTGTTGACCTTGTTGACCTTGAAGGGGGGGGCCGTTGATTAATCCGGTGTTGCCATTACGCTGTGGTGGAGCAACAATGGGGTGTGAGGCTGTGAGATGCTGTGAGGCTCCCAGAATTGAGACGTGCAAACAAAATCAAACAACCAGGTCTGAACATCACCTGGTCCAAATGACCACAGTGCCTTCATCTTATCTGTATGTTTGCCGTATAGTATTTTGCCTCCGGGAGATCTTGATGGAGTTGATAGGGTTCCAGAAACCAATCAGAGTCTCGATGCAAGACATGCTCCAGCGAGTCGGCCATGACCACCTGGGCCATTTCGGCCGACTTCACTCAGCGAGTCTGTCGATGGATGCAGCGGTCTGTCTGAGTAGGAACGCCCAGAATTGAACCGGTGGTCGAAAAGAAAAATGGCATCCACTTCGCTTCAAGAAAAAGAACATATACGTTCAAATTCATGAATGAACATGGGTCCTACACTCTTGCACAAAAGGTGACAACTGAAGTGCTGGTTGAGATCGCCAACGCTGAACTTTCGACAAGTCACTGCATGTCCAGCCACCAGAACCAAGTGACTAAGATTTCTCAACTTTTCAGCATCAAAGTGGACCTCACATGTGATTGCAAAAAGGATGCCCTTGGCTGTGAATCAAACCCCGATACCCTGAGTTTCCCGCACCTTAATAATAGGAAAAGTAACAGTGCAATGAATCCGATACGCCAAAAAATTGACACCTACGCCTATGCCTATGCAAAGTGGCGGGTTTACACATGTTTCAATACACTATATATATATATACTCACAAACAACGCTTTCCATAATTAACTATGTATTGTACAGTACTCGTGCACATTGTGCATACTTGTAAACTCGCAAACTGCTGGGCGTTACATTGCGTAAAATTAGGTGGAGCAATGCTGGCCTCTTGTTCAACTCAAGCGATTCTAGCCAGACTAGCCCAGCTACAGGCAGTGCATGAAGACTCGCAGACTCGCAGCGGTGGAAAGTACATGTTTCGTTCAGTAACCGGGCTTTTGTTCGTTCGTGATCTGCATGCAAACAGACACAACGTATAAAATTGCAATAGATCTGCACATCAACATAAGAAGTGAAGTTAAGTAATACTGAGCCATCCGGTTTGCTGCCAGGTACGGGACTATTCTCATATTGCATGTGCAACCAAAAGCATACTCCTTCGCGAGAGTGGTTTCTATGGCCTTCCTACTACTTTGAACCTAATGTTTTGCATCTGTACCATGCTTTAGTTTGTAGTAGTGAAGGTTATATAGACACCATGCATTCATTAGTTGGTTTGGGATATCGGATATATACATCCGTTTGGTTAGGCAACAATCGCCTTGTGGTTTGGGTGGTGGTACCCATCAAGATCACAGAAGGCCAAACATGCAACGATATCCTAGGTGCCTTGCGAACCGCAACACTTATTCACGCATGTGGCAAGTGCTCTCAAATAATTACGCTTGTGGTAAACCCATCAACGTCAACTCCTGCAGCAAACCTGATTGGTATGGAGAATTTGCTCCTAAAACAAATCTTGAATATTCATGACAATTTGCTGTTCATGCTGACATCAACGAGGTTTCTCTTTCCATCCACTCCAACATCGGGACCTAGTAAGCCTTACCATGCTTTACCCCATTGGTACACATGGCCCAGCACAAGAGTGTCTGTCCTAGGGACAGAATCTTCAAGGATTCCGCTCTGCGCCAACTCGGCGAACTTCCGCCAACATATGATGCCAGACAGTGCGGTGCAAAAGCTGAGTACTAAGGTGGTGATCTGAGCCGTCCTCATCCAGAAGGCTCGTTTAGACCTGAGCTGTGCAGCGGTGCTGAAGGTCCTTTGACCTCTCAACGTGTGCGCCTGATGAGATCAAGGGATCTCATTGTTACCCCAATGCGGTGCAAAGGCACACCACCGGCAGTGGAAGAGGAAACAATTCTTTGCCATGAGCGTGAGGCGACCAATCTTCGAAGGCATGCATAGCATAGGCATAGGCTGACCACGAAACCGCCGCAAGTGCTCCCCTTCACTCCATGTACAGTGCTCAAGATGCTGAAAGTGGCCAAAGAGGAATGTGGATGTGCTGTGCTAGTTGATCTAGACGCCTCAAAAACCAGGGTCGCTAAGTTTAGACTTCAATGGGCCTTTCAGTTGGGCCTGTGTTGAAAACAAGGGCCTTTATGTGGGACATCTGTATGTGAATTTGATAGTGGATGTCTCATTCACCGGTGAAGATGCTGCGCAGCAAGCCCCGGAGGAAGCAAAGCCACTTCCGTCACCGATGTTTAGGAGCACAAGTTAGGTCTTGTTGCCGCAGAAATACACGAACACGCAAGAACAGCTGAAAAATGAAAGAGGATCCGAACTGGCGTTGCCAAGCCCACTGCTGATTATTCCAAAGCCCAAAGTTGTTGATGAATTCTTACAGCATATTGTGACCCTTCTGCCAGAATCCTAATCCGGTGTTGACTGTTCACACAATCCTTCAAACTTTCAACTGCCATAAGCCACACAAACCAGGCAGAGTCTACCGATCTCAAACTCGACAGGGGTAGCCAAGGACAAAACAATGCAGAGCATTCTGGCCCTCAGTCACCCATCAGGAGATGTATATATATATAAGGGGCTTTCCCTTGACTTCAGATTGAACAAATAGGGGCTTGTCTGCAGGCAGTGGAGATCAAACGAGTGTTCAAACTTGGATACTTTGACTGAAAAACGAAACACCCCGGGACAAAAACAGATGGTCAGCTATAACGCCACCCCTGCTCCAATATCGCACGCAGCAGGTCTGAGGTCTCCTTTTGGTCGAGACAAAGTCCAACTCACCAGCCCCGCCACTGTAAAATCCTTTGAAATAGATTGCTGCAAACCAAAGTCATTGACCTAGTGCATGTGTGCAATATATTTCCTCACGACCAATATTATTATGACCAGTCCAATACCATTTCCATGCCAACTACAGTAGTTTGGAACACTGACCATTAAAGACTGACTGGTCCAAAGGACTTGATTCACTGGCCTGGCTTGGCTAAAGCTGGATCTGTTGCCTGTCACCCACGCAGGGCCTTGGTCATCTCACTGCACTGTAAGACCTGGGTGGATTTGCATTTCGCGGCCGTCTGACGTGGTCTGATGATATCTGTCTACAAGTCTCGTTCACCATCCTTAACTATCCTTAACTATCCTTCACCATCCTTAACCATCCTTCATCCACCAAAAGACTCCAAACCTCACAACCCTCAAGTACTCTGCCGAGCTGCTCTCCTCGCAAGTAGCGGCTGGCCCGATCCACTGCTCCCCTGCGGCCATACAGGCGGAGTGGAAAGGCCACCGGTGGGGGAAGGCGTCCTTCGCCGGCCTGGACCGATGAGGTCGACGGACGCGGACGACCGGGAACGCGTCCGGGAACGGTCCGTCCCGAGGTGGACGAAGGCGGGAGCTCGGGGAAGGCGCAGCGGATCAGCGTTCTTGGCCTCTTTCATCCTTTTGTTTGTCCTTTTCTTTGTGATTCTGTCAAAAATCTGCACATGTGTCTCAGTTGTCTAATCTAGACTCATGTATTTTTTTCAGGTTCATCAACATCGTTGTTCTTTGTGCTGTCAATTGTGTAAGCCTAAGCGCATTGCTGCACCTTCGAGGCAAAACATCAATCACAAAGTGTGTGGAAAACGAGCAACACAAATATTGAAAAACGATCAAACACGACTAGCAACATCTGGCACCTATAACTGTTTAACAAGACGGGGTCAACCATGTGCGATCACCAAACTGCTGCATTTGCGGCATTCTCTGGCTGACAAAAATCTTGGCCATCAAACAGCGACCACCGTTTGGGCCCCTTCTTCGACGAACGCCACCTATCTTCCCATCATTGACATGCATAATGTACAGTCCTGCCCAAACACCTCAACCCTCAAGAAGCTTTGCAAGCTACGTGTCGTTTCGGCTGCTGCAGCAACTGACTGTGGCAATGGAGTTGGGCTTACTTGTTTACCACTTTGTTTACCAAACGTGTTTCTCCCTTCAAAGTTCGTTGCAAACACACTCAAACTCAAGCTGTTAGAAAGAATCGACGTCGCAGCAATCTGCGTTGCATTTCTGGCAGAAATTCTCGCTAAGCCACTAAATCACGTGATCATGATCTGAACAAAATATCATAATTACCTGAAATGCTTTCGCCCATCAATACCTACACAATCAACCAGTCCTTGCCTTGGCATCTGGGTGCTCTTGGGCTTCAGCACTGTCCGGGTTCATCTCCACGCAGATTTGGTGCTGTTGGAAGTCCGGCCGTACCAGTCCCCAGCCGAAGCGCACGACCTCACCGTCCGAGGGGCGAGGTCGGCCATGTGCTCGAGCGTTTTCGGCCGAAGGCGCTGAAATCGACTCACCCCGGCCTGGCCGAACCACGGGGTGGTGTCCAAGCTGTTTTCATGTTTTCTGCCTTAGCCGGCGGGTCGTCTCACAAAGGTGACAAGTGCCTTGGAAGGTGAAGTCTTTAAGCAGCTAAGGCTTTAGCTCAACAAAGCCATGTGAGCTCTTTCAGTTCTATGACTGCGTTTCAACGCTGACCTGCCTGGATGAAAGTGGTAGTTAGCACCAGTAAAGATTATACTATAAATATAACATGTATATATATATATATACGCGATATATATATATATATATATGTATCGAATTGTACAGTAGTGTGTGACTGTGTGTGTGCGCGCATATACACCTCAAGGCGCCCTTTGGCTGCTGCTACTTGCTCCTTTTCTTTCTCATTTCAATCGGTCCGAGCATAAAGCCGGGCGCGTGACGTCCCTGTTCTTCTTTTGCAATGACCATGATGAAATTATCGCTGGACGATCACTGGGCCAGGTTGGTTCAACAAAAACCTGCAGTGTCTACGATGCAACAGTCCCATCCTCCTTCACAACTCCTCCCCTGAAAATTGACCCAAGTCCTTAGCCTAAAGCATGGGCAGGTGACCAATTGACTTGAAGCGTGAAGCGTGAGACGGCATGATGGTTCCTGGTGAGGTGGTGATCGATTCCTCCTACAACGCGGGTGTTAGGATCCTTAGTATCCGTCAACAGCACAAATGAGCAATTCTCAGGTCGTTAGGATGAAACACTCTACAAAAGTCGGCCATTCATAGGTTGCAAGATTGATGCCCTTGGTTTAGGAATGTGCACGCTGATACTATGCGTGATGAATGAAAGCCACACCAAGATGCATAGAAACTTGTTTTGCTGAGCTTTGGCCATGCATTGTCGGGGTCCAAGAATAGTCTTCCTCAGACAATTCAGCCGCCAAAAACGATGTCACGTTCTTTCGTTTGCTGTGAACACCATATTGTACTGCAGTGATTGATTCAATCTTTTCTGCATAATCAGTCAGAGGCTGCGTATGCGTTCGAGCGCACAATCAGTGTACCTTACTGAAAAGGCTATTCACCAGATTCATGAACACATCACTTCCATGTATCCGGTCCAAGTCGATCATCTTGGAGAGCAGAAGTCGAGGCCTAGCCTGTCTTTGGAAAAAGCCTACGACCAATGTGCAAGAAAAGAATCAGCACATGGCTCAGGTTGTTCAGGTCCCATTCCATCCACTCTTGGGGGCAGTCATTGGAAAAGAGTGAGTGAAAAGCAAAAGCATGTATCAGTCAATTTTGGGTAGCCTTCAGGAGTTCCACGACCAGTTTCATCGCAACAATCAGAAAAAGACACGACTTCACAACCTTCCAGTCTATTCAGTTTTCAGGCAATGTTGCCCGATTTTCAGGCAAGTATCTTGATCACTTTGCCCCAGCAGCGGTCATGGTGTTGAGTAAGTTGCTCTTCCAGGTTGACCTGTCTATTTGGGAATCAAACATACATGGGAACTTGACATCCCCTCTGAAAGCTAGTCACTCAATTATGTACAAGTTTTATGCAAACCAACATCAAACGGAATCACAACAGTCCACAACTACGTGAGATTGCCAACCACCCACAGCTTTGTGTGGGTTGTGTGGCGCTTGGTATGCCATGGTGCAACGCACCGAAAATTGGCAGCAATGTTCAACACCAGGCAGGTCTGCTTTGAGTGATTGAGAAGTTCGGCGCTGCTACTCGCAGGCATGCCAAGGGCCCCTTCTGCTTTTGTGGATTCTACAAAATCACATCTGGGAGCTTCGAGGATTCTCCACCCAATGGTTGGAAACCCATAACCATTGCATACCACCGTTTACCATGGCATGCCTTCTTGCAATGCAACTATCTGGAACACTTCTGGGAGATCCCCAGACCTTGAGGCTTCCCCTTTCAGGCCCAGCAAACACACGCGCCTCCGACTTCTCCTCTTGACCTGTCTACGAGGTGCATGAGGTGCACTTCCCATTACTGCATGTTTGACTGCTTAAACCATGGCTTTTGAGTTGAAGCATACTACACAATACTACATACAATTCTTCATTGAAGAACAACATGTCCACGTTTGTGTGTTTTGTTTTTTTTTTTTTGTGGCGACGTCAACATTCTTATAAAAGCATGGATTCTCCTGTCGTTGAGAGGGTCAAGCAAGTCCACGGACCAGCAACTTGACTGCAAATCATCGCATAGTTTGACCGGCCATGTTTCCTAGTCATAACTATGTGTTTATCTTCAAAAGCCCAAGGCTAATAAACCTCAGCTCCAAGCTCCTAGAAAAAAATATGCTGTGCCAAACCTCTCAGACCCATAGGTGGCATCAGAATCATTTTGTCCACCCGGCCGTTCGATAAGAACGGGGTCGTTTTGCAATGTCAGAAGCCTCGAATTACATGAATCCACGAACAGCAGTGATAATGAAGCAAGAAACGATGTCGGACGGACGTCACATGGGCGGCGGGTGCCGTGGCAACCGATTCCTGAGTCACTGTGATGATATGTGGTGATATTGCGAATATTGAGCAATTGCGGCGAGTGCAGGAACATACATTAAAAAAAAAAACATGTTAGGTCAGGTTCTTGTTCTAGGATAAAGGCGGGCCCGTCGTTGATGTTTGACGGGGCTTGATGTATTTTTGGGACATGGCATACCACAGTAAACATTGCACCTTTGCAGTGTCTTTTTGTGTCTGTGTTGGGGCGCGTGCAGGTGCAACATGCAAAAAGTTATTATATTATTGCTTTAAGCGATGCAACTAGCAAAGGAAGGCGGGGTTGCTGGAACCACCACAATGTCAGTGTTTTGGAAAGGTGTTCTTCAAAGGTGCCAAAAAGTGTATTGCATTGCATTGCATTGCTTTGCATAGCAGCTTTTTGATGCTTGTCTTTTTTGGTGTTTTCTGAAATGCGCTTTGGTTTAAAACAACACTGTTTCAAATACATTATGCAAGCGATGCAAGCGTTTACTGAGCCATGGTTGGTCAAGCGTACCGTGAACCGTGAACCTCTCACAGCAGGGATGGGCTGCTAGAGCTTGGACAGGGTCTTTGTGACATACGACTACACGACCGGGACAATTCGATATCAACGGAAATGCAAGTACATGCGATATCAAGAAGTGCGCAGAAAGGAAGCGACACCATTCTTAATGGAATTGACTTGAATCAATAAAGGTGAATATGTAAGTTTCAGTGGGGTCACAACAGCACGTCGACCGAAACCGTATTTGGTTCTTCAGCTTTTGCCAACAAAGTCGTCATGTCGCGCCTGAATTGCTCGTCTTCATGTCATTGCTCTTCAAGACCTGGGATCTCCGACTCCGGGGCGGGCTGATACAACCGTTGATGTCCACACCGGATGGACCATCAAACCCCCCAAGGTCAACTGGGTAGATTGAAGGTATTGGAGACCAAAGGAGGGAGAAGAAAAGGGAGGATGAGAAAAAGAAGGAGAAGAATGATGGATGAGAGGATGAATATGGGACAAGGGTGGATCAGAAGATGTGCTTCACCATGGACCAGTTTGACTAGAGGAAGATATTGGCTCCTGACTGAAAAAACATGAACAATTATAAAACAAAACAATAACCAATAATTACGATTTTTTGGGGCAAATAAATAGGGGAGGGAAGGTTTTATTAGGGTGAAAATTCAGGTTGGGGGGCTCAAGCTGGGCTTGATTGACAAGGGCAGGTTTGTTAATCCTGTGTGTGCATTACCTGGAAAGTAGATATTGCAAGTTCAAGATTCAAGATGCGTATAGATCCACATGTGAATGCTTGGGTAAACCTACACTTGAGAAGACCAAGCTCTGAAGTGCTCTCTTGAAAGCTTTGCAAGTACAGCAGACATCAGCAAACCTGAGTTATTAGAAGGAGCCCCTAGTAGCGTTATTGTTAATAGTAGTAAGGCCAGGAGCCCCTAGTAGCGTCCTTGCTCCTAGTAGCGATGCCAGGAGCCCCTAGTAGCTTCTTGCTACTGCTCGTCTAGGGAAAAAGACTATGTGAATTCCGTGACTCAAAAAACTGCTGTTGAATGGATCAACAAACGAGGCTTCCCTGGATGAAGAAGCCCTCATCTTCGTCTCCATTCAACCATTCCTTCAAAGTCAAAAAGGCCGAGGTCATGAAGGAGGACGAGGAGGAACAAGACCTTGTCGGTGCTCCTGGCAGTGTGGATCCTTTTCGCGGAATACTTGCTTCCTGCATTGTGCCAGGGAGATGCCAGGTGTAATAGGTGGAGGTGCAAATTTTGGAGATGCCAATTTTGATTTGATTCCAAGAAAAGCTTCTGTCGTCTTTAGGGAGATGTCGATTTCTCAGATCTTTTCGGGTTGCAGCACCTGTGAGCTGCTGTCAGGTCCCTGCCCAGCTGGGCGCCGAAGGCAGCTTGAACGGTGCTCAAACCCCAAGCATGCAGGATAGCATTGGATGGAGAAACATCTGTTATTCAAATAACTTGCAGATGTTGTGTCTTCTCAGGCTTCCTGAAGTCCTGAAGCACAAATACATGGCCATTGCGAGCTCAAATGGCCGTGTGATGCCTTGTCACATTCCGCAGTCGGCCTCCAATCATTGACTGCCCAATCTCTCCCGGTCCTGGCTCCAAACGCTCCAAGTGCTGCAAACGCGCGGGAGGTCTCCGGAGCCTCGGTGCAGTTCTTGATGCATTGGTCCAACTTAGAATGATTCAATCCACATGTTCCTGCGCCCAGGTGGGTGGAGGAGTACACATGAGTAAACAGTGTCCACCCCAGCAAAACTCTCGAAGTCCCTTGTAGCTCGCTGCGCGAGTCTTCTTGATAATCCTGATTGAACCGTGGACAGTTGAGTAAAGAATGGAGTATAAAGAGGAGGAGAGGAGAGGGAGACGAGTCTCACGGTGGAATATGGTGGTATATCGTGTAAATACATGTAAATACGTGTGTTCTTGATGGATCGTATGTTTTTGCAGTCTCAGCTCTCTTCGCACCACCCTCTGCTCTACATTGTGCTCTGCCCTCCACTCTCTCTTAACTTCAATTACACAGTGCAAAGAGTAGAGACCTAAGCAAAATAAAGCATAGGAATAGAGGAGCAAGAATGGATAGTTTGCCGTGTAGAAAATAACTGAGCAAAAGAACACAAAATAGACATGAAAGGCGCAAGTGTTCAGATAGAAGGGGATTCGAAAATAGAAAGCAAGAATATAGCGTGGAGGCTGCAGGCCAAAATCTTTTGAGAAATGAATCTAGGAACCAAATCTCTAGGGGCTAGAAGCTACTAGGGGCTCCTGGCATCGCTACTAGGAGCAAAGACACTACTAGGGCTCCTGGCCTTACTACTAGGAGCAAGAAGCTACTAGGAACCAAATGAATAGTGCGAGCGCTTCCTCAAGGAAGCTCCCCGGCGCCCTCAGGCAGGGGGAGCTTCTTTGAAGAAGCGGAGCTATCCTGCGTCCTGGCTAGTAGCAGGGTAGCTAGTAGCTTGTTTAGCTCTTACTAAATAAAGTAGGCACCTACTTAATTAAGGGCGGGCTTCAAAAGTTGCCGATGCATCTTTGAGTGGAGAAGCGGGACTCATGGAGCCGTAGGGCCTGCAAAGAGCCATAGAAGTCTTCGAGTCTACATGCTTTTCTTGGATGTCCACTACTGGCGATGTCATTGGGCCGGACTATAGGTAGAAGTCAGCTTGCTCAGCAAAGAACCCAAAGAAGAGTAGGATGCGCTTCATGACAGTTCCACAACTAGAGTCATTAGAGAACTTCTGGGCAATGGTTATGTTTTTCAGATAGATAAAGCTATTCATGTCACAACACTCTGCTTGAGTCTTGGTTCTCCATTTTAGACAATGCTCGAAGCACTTGCAGGGATTTTATTCTCAATGGGAAAATCCATGAAACTTTCTCAACAAGGCTGTAACACTGTGATATCAATCTTGATTGTTGGATGCTAATTGGATGCAACTGGACAGCCTTGAGGCTGCTCCAAACCATGCTTCAAAGCTGTCATATCTAGTAGCCTTCACTACCGTGTTCTTTGTTGCAAATGTGGAGGAAAGGTATCAGCTTTGAGATCATATCACATACTAAATAGCCAATGGAGCTGGATTAGATGCACACACTTCTCCATCTCTGCCCCAGCCGGACTCTGATGAATCCACTCGCTACTGAAAGGTCCTGCAAGACTGTATTCTGAAGGAACCTCGCAGTATCTTGCACAAAGTCTTCATCACAAAAAACTATCAAAAGGTAAAACCTTGATCTATAAGCTCCCGAAAAGCATGATGTGATTGGGGAAGCAGAAGGATACGGAACCTCAACTAACTCACGACAATCCCACAGAACAATACTGTACCAAAAACATCCAAAAACTTATCCAAGCAACATCACACAACATATCCAATGATATTCAAGTTTCTTTGGCAGTTGGCATCTCATTATTTTTGAGTTCCAAGACCCGGCACACCGCCCCTCTCTGGGCTCCCTGGCTCTGAATCTCGGCTCCTGCTCCGGCTCCGCTCCTCAAGTGGGTTCACTTGAGATGGTACTGAGTGGTTTAATGGCGGAAGTACCAGGATCAACCAGCATTGGAGATGACTACTACTCATGGGGAAAATCAGGTTTAAACTTGTGTAGGGAATAAGAGTACAATAAGAGTGGTGGGTCAAACGAGAATGCTGTGTCTAGACTGAGAAGAGGATTTCTTATGGTTTTGCAGCTTTGTGCACAAAGCAAATGCACTGCACCTTGGATCTCATTGCTTGCCGAACTTTGCAGAGAAGTCATTAAATTTCACAAACGAAGACTCGACATAGCCTACCACCTTGCTCCTCCCTGTCATCAAGAGATAGGTTCTCTCCAAAACAAAGTGTAAACGTGCCCGCAAAAGGCTTGGTAAACTCGCATCACCATCACCAAAGCTGCATCCAAGCCGTCTGGCTTCCACAAGCCGTCTGGCGACACCAAAACGAACAGTTGGATCCAGTTGGAACATGGGCAATTAAAAAACAAACAGTCATGAGCAGGGGATACAACTCTCAACATATCTACACAATATATATATATATATTCTTAAATATGGTCACACCCATGTTGCTCCCTGTGTCAGATTAACAACCCCAACGCCCAACACCTTGACTTTCCATCGGCAAGCTATATGCCTGCCTGTGACTATTAGGTTCTGTCCTCTTGGGTTTCCACGACATACTCTTGGGTGGCATCAAGCGATCTCAGCAGAACATTTGCGAAGAAGGATGCGCAATGCACGGAAACACGAAGCGACTGGTTGATTGGGTTTATCGAGTGGCTGATCCGCGAGGAATTGATGTGGGCACTGGCATTCCCCAGTGATATGTGTGAATCAATCAGTGATGAATAGCCTGAAGAGGTTGCTCTGACTGGGGCAAAAAGGGTACCACGGGCGGTACTAGCCACGAGGAGCACCCATCGACCAGCTGCAAGGGCAGCATACTGCATGTTGGTTTCATTTTGAAGATTAGCTGCGTGGCCTTTGATTAGGTCGTAACAGCATGGAGCAGGCATCTCAGTGTGTGGACCCCTTATCCAAAACATACAAACATTCCATTGACTCATTGACATCCCATTTTAGCTTTCCTTTTCCCACCCACGCAGAGTTTCATCTGAGTAAATTCGAGTTTGATCTGAGTTCCTGAGTGCAGCACTCTGCGGTCGCAATCTCTGCGATCTCGCTCTGCAAGGGCAAAGGCGGCAAAAGTGGAACGTCCTCTTGGTCCTTCTGGCCCTCCTGGCGGCAGGTGATGACGGTCATGTTGGGGTCCAAACCGGAAGAAAAATCAGAACGTCCGAAGTAGATCGGATCATTTCGTCATGTCATGAATATTACTGGCCTAAAATTGTCTGGCAAACCTCCTCATCTCGCAGTTCTCGGATGCCGCGTAGGTTCTCATCTCGCGTCGCGCGAGGGAAACCTTTTAAGAAGTGTCTAAGAGAGTGCCTGGAGAGTTTCTCTCGGTACGTACTGCCATGTTTGGGGCACATGACACATGAAAGAGACTCCAAAGATGCATTAAGACATGTTAAGGCCACTTGTATAAAAATTGAAATCCCAACCAATTGAACTTCAGCCGCAATCAAAGAATTTGGCAAAGCTGGTGTTCTGACAGTTTGATACAGTCCCCTCTTTCTTCGCCCATTGACTCTGTCTGGGTCTTTCTTGTCTTACTAATTCAATGTTGGGCTGTGTCCAATAAATGAAGAGAGCAGAAAAGAGAAGAAGCATGTTTCATGATCCCCAGCATGTCCCCAACATAGCTCCACTCTCCTCCAATCCAATGGAGGGCTCATCAGGTTCAGTCACGTCCATGCTGTCGCTGATGTGGCTCACTCCACTGTCGTCACTGTCGTCACTGTCGTCGCTGTCGTCGCTGTCGTCACTGTCTCGAATGCAGTGGCTGGCACGACGTGCGTGACTGGACTGACATTCGTCGATGTCATGACCGTCGAGGCCATCCTCGCCATCATCGGTTAGGTCATTCTCCATGCCATAGTACTGGCACGGTGCATCTTCAAACAAGTCCAGTGATCCACGGAACAGTTGCTGATCTTGGGATACACCACACTAACTAATTGCAAGCAATACTCATGATGGGACTCTGGGAGCTGGCAGCTTAGAGAGCTTGACCCAGTTGTCACTCCGGAAGCTCCACGGTTGCAGGAAGGCATCTTCCAGATGGAAATTCACAATTAACACAGCAGTACATCGCCTGGTACAGCAAAGACGTGCACGATCTTGGGTGCGCGATTCTTAGAAAGAATGTCAGAATCATTCAGAATACCCTCTTAGGTGCCAAATCCCGGCGAACTCCAAGCGACGGTTGCCCACCCAAGCGACTGCCTTGTGTTTCCAGAGCCTGGAGAGGTCCTCAGGATCCGGCCGACGTCCAGCCCACCGCCAAGGTCCGAAAGTCGTTGGGCAAAAGAGTTGACATCTGCCATGGATCAATAGATTGCCTTTAGTTGTTTTCTATATCAAAGATACTATAAATAATATACTATAATATCATAATATATAGATAGATACAATTGACAAGATGAGACAATAGCTACATGTACAATCATTTAGGGTAGCACCACCTTCTCATGGGGTCAAACCCGGTGGTTTGATTGACTTCAAAGCACAGCACGGGGGTTGCTTTTGGAAGGCTGAACCTCCAATCCTCCGGGTGTTGCGAGTGATGCGACTGAACGAATCCAAATTATCTATCCAAATCTGCTGAGCAGACCTGTTGCTGTCCCAGGTACCTTCAAGTTCCTCCGACAATTGCGGAAGTAAGCCTCGCAGCATTCAGCAGTGGGGCGGCATGGAGTCATAGAGCAGCTACATGGTTTTATACGTTTCTTGACCGGACGGGCTTTGGACCTCAGGGGCGATGTTTCTTGGGTGATCCATGGTGATTCCCTATGCATCTGACATCATCTGACCATCATTTCCCGTCCTTCAGAGGACGCACGTTCTCTGCTCCCAATTTCAATGCACTCCTCAGAGGGCGACAGAGTGACCGGCTCGATACCGACAGAGTGACCCGACCCGTTGATTCGATTGAGGCTCATTCGCTCAATCCCTGGTGGAAGAACTTCGCCTCATCAGAGGGGAACATTCGGAACTTTCTGCAGCGCTTGTGCGGGAGATAAAAAAGAACTCTTGATATCTGCTCTTGTGGGAAAAGCAAACCGATCCTCGACTGGGTCAATTGGTACAGGTGGTTGTCTAGTCTCAAGTCTTAACCATCATATAGAATTCAAAGGATATGTTGGACGCCTCCTTTTAGTTGGAGATGCATGTTTCCAGAAAGCACCAGGTCTTTTCAAATTTTTCAACCCAAGCCTTGAGGACGGACAAGAGTCCAAGAAAAGAATTGGAGATGTTGAAGGTATAAAACGGTCATGAAACCAGGCCCTACGCCGCTTCACTTCAATTCGTAGCTGACATGTAAAAAATATTAAAAAATGTCTAAACGTTCATATATAGTTTCGATTAGTTTCGAGATGCACTTGTCAAGTTTCACTGAATTTCAAGGAACCAAATAAATAGTGCGAGCGCTTCTTGATTCAAGGAAGCATCCCCCGCCCTCACGTGGGCGGAGCTTCCTTGAAGAAGCGTGAGCTATCCTGCGTCCAGTAGCCAGGAGCTTACTCCCTCGCCTACTTGATTAAGTAGTACAGTAGGGAGGCAGAGCGGGGTCTGAAAAAAGAACAACACATTAAGCTTGAAACCATTAAAAACAATGCACAACTGCTGGGGTCCTTCCTGAGTGAGTCCCTCGAAAGTCGCTACAAACGAGTCTGATGGCTCAAATCGGGTCGGGGGTTCTTCCTTCTCAAGATCATCAAGGACAATGTCTCAATCTGCTTTTGGGAAAATGGGTCTTTGAAGGAGATGCCGGGTTTGCCCAATGGTCCATCAATGCTTTCTGGCAGCTCAACGGAGTGAACATTGCTCCTGGTGATTCACGGGTCGGGAGGAGGTCCAGGGCGAACTACGTGTGTCACGTGTGACTGGATTGTCCCTAACACGTCCCAACGACAAAACAAACTAAGAACATCAAGCTCGAATGAGGGCAGGGTCCAGGAAGGTTGGCAAGCGAATGCCAGGCTATCCTGTGCGACCTGGAACCCTGACAAAAGAACACACCAGGCTCTCCAAACATGCAGTATGCCTCCAAAAAGAGGATTCACCAGCAACGCGTTGGTAAATGGACAAAGCCACCAACAGCTTTAGGGTCTCTACCATTGGAACCAAATGGTCAGATTCTAAACGACATTTGCTACTAGTAGGAAGGTGCCTTACTAGTAATAACAAGCTACTAGTAGTAAGGCACCTTGCTACTAGTAGCTTCTTGTTACTAGTAGTAATACCAGGAGGATCCAGGAGGTACCAGTTAGCTTTTCACAGTCCAACTGTTCAACATCGTCCAACCCGATGCCACTCCTGAGCTGTCCGGAGCCATTGCTGCCTGGGCGTTCAGTCGACCGTCACGGGGAGGTTTGGATGAAAATTCGGTCCCACTCCTGCGCCTCCCTAGTAGCGTCCTTGTTCCTAGTAGCGATGCCCTTGTTACTAGTAGCTTCTTGCTCCTAGTAGAAAGGCCAGGAGCCCCTAGCAGCGTCCTTGCTCCTAGTATCGATGCCCTTTGCTCCTAGTAGCGTCCTCTTGTGCATCTTCTTCGGAATTGGAGTGTTGGTTGCGTGGAACATCGGTGATCAAGACTTTCGGGGTTGGAAGGCGTCCCCCCAATCGCTGAGTTTCTGCCTTGATTGGAGCCGAGGCCTCCCATGGAGATTCAGGAGGATTACTATTGGGACGGACCCTTCCCATCCTCGTCGAATCCAAAACGTTCGACTCGATTTCATCCAACGACTCGTCCTACTCGCGCTTCGGTCTCTTTTCTGCTTCAAGCTGTTCCAAAGGCTCAAGGTCAGGCTTCAGGGGTGCTCTTGAAGAGTGACACAATCGAAACCACAGTGAGCAACCAAACAGGGGGGCTCTCCCTAGTAGGTATGGGAGATCAATCGCATAACAAATACCACCCCAAAATGGTGGTGGTATGTGGTGGTGCTCATTTACACATTAATAGTTGAAAGCATCCAACTTTGGTGGTAAATTTTGGCCGCCCTTCACTTGGCGTCGTTCATTTCTCAGGCAGGATCAGGCATGATCAACTGGCCGCTGCCCGCCAGGCGTCGTTCTCCAGCAAATGGTCACCTGATCGTCACGCAGGAGACGACAATGATGACAAGCCCTCAATCATCCTCAATCCACGTGTTATCCGATATCCTCGCACTGTTAGGTAGCAGCTTCTTTCGAAGTCGACAAACACTGTGATCCCAATCAAGACCACCTTTTCATCTTTGCAAGAAAAGAAGACTTCTTCCCCAACAAAAGCAAGACCTGCATTCTCTTGCATTGGAGCCTAAGACCTCTCTCATACGTTGGATCCGAGCCACAAACAACGAGGTCTCATCCATCAGATTCGACTCTTCTCCGATCTCGTCTTGCCTCTTCCCTCAGCTGCCCTCTTCAGGTAGAAGGTCACCTGAAGGACCAAAAGGCAACCCACGGCGCGAGGACAGAAGCAGAAGGACCACTTAGATCTTGGCTCTTCCCTTTTGGTGGGGCAAGGGCCAACCCTTTGCTGTCACTGGGCTCCAGATTTAGATTCCAAAAATCTTCGGAAGAAGTTGCTAGGTTTGTACTTGTCATTTCGCCCCAAATTCGCTGTAAGGCCTGAATAACTCTTGACCTAGGCCCATCAACTCCTTTCTGTTCGAACAACTTGAATGTGTCCTCCTTTCATTGGGAAGGACCACAGCAACGTCTGAACACAACTAACTACCCTAAGTTACTTTGGTCCTACTATCCAAACTCTTGAACTGGGCTCCCCCACCGGCTGCACCGTCTCAGACCGACTCAGCTTCTCCAAGTCCAAGCGTTCCGCCGCCCGCGCACAAGCGACATCGACGTCCACGCCCAGCGCGGGCAATCCCAGGTCATTGGCGAGCGCCAGGACGGTGCCACGCCCGCAGAAGGGGTCAATGACCAGGCGAACTTCCGTGGAGAGCCTTGGATGAAAGTCGTCCGGTTTGGATCAAAGGAAACTGCCGGCATGCGGATGGTTTGTAGATGTTTGTACGTAGTATCTTTGCATCGGGATGAAGGGTGTGTTGTTCTTGTGGTTGCGGTTATTTGTTTTGCTGTTGTTCTTATGTCCTCTTTGTAATTGTGCGTCTTCCAGATCGTTGAGAATCGAATCTATTCACCAAAAAAGCCTGTACTTGCTGATCACTGATCTACTGCAAGGTCCAAAACAAAGGTGCCAAGTGGCTGAACCCATTGAAGTACCCTGGCCATCGCCTCAATACCCATGCCCTGTGCATAGACCTTCCGTCCCCGACACATCAAGTCCGGCACGTCGCAGCGTCGGTACACCGAGCGACCGGGCTCCGTGGAAGTGATGAAACACAGCAAATGAGAGTAGTCAGCACTTAGTCCACAGCGTGGAAGGTTCACCACTTCAGGATCAAAGGTGATCTTGTGCCATAAGAGTGTGGCCTTTGCTGCCTCTGCCTCCTTGCAAATCAAGGCTGCTTTGTCAATCCACTGGCCGCCACTCATGATATCAGTCTGCAGAAAAATCACCAAGGTGTTCTCACGGCAACAAGAGAAAATCAAACTCAGCGCCTGCGACAGCGGTCAAATTAAACCAGTTAAAGAATGGCATGTGAAATCTTTGAAGAGGAAACACCACAGCAAATTACGTACGTACATCTATTTGAGGTTGATACAGTTCACACTCACCGGGCAATCAGTCTTCTCCCCTTTTACTTGCACGGAGGTTGGCAGTTCCATCCACCAAAACTCATCCTTCCCACCTTCTGGAACCATTGCAGGTATTGCGTCAAAGGCATCTTCCTTGGGATTCCGCTCAATCCAGTGGCGAATGCTTAACCCGTCTCTGGGGAAAAGCTAACAAAACGGATGCTGTATTGCTTCGGACATTGAGGTCAACCAAAGCACTGTTTCGGTCAACCAAACGGAGGCATGTGGCCTTGACATCTATGCTGGCCCAGCTTCTGACCTTTCTTCAGCTCTGACCAATCTGGCAGGGAAGTCACTACCTTGGCATACCCCGTAGAACATTGAACAGCTCTGAGGCTTTTGAAGGATGTTAGCTAGTTCCTATCCTAGTTCATGGTCAGACACTCAGAAAGCAGGTTTCAGCTGAGCATGTGCAGTCCAATCAAAGACTGTCAAAAAACGGGTAAGGTTGCCAGAGAATAGCTCCTGAACTAGACGTTCTCATTCGTTTGTGGGGGTCAATGGACTATGTGGTCGGCCTATTAATCGCCGCGTGAAAGAAAGTAAGCACCTACAGCCTATACGTATATCTGTGGAGGGACTTGGGGACGCTGTCACATTTGCATCAACAGGAATAAGCCACTGTTGGCCGACAAAGGACTCTCGCAAGTGCCTTCCACATGTTTCAAATGCCTCATCACCACTAGACCCTAGAAAGGTCGAATCGGTTGACATCCGCTCTTACCGGAGAAATGCAACACCTCTGCGCGGGAGCCCGAGATTTGCTGCCCCTTCGCAAATGATATGATGGAGAATGATGAAAAGCACATGTCAATGAGCCGGATAGAACTTCTGTCTAAAGCACATAAAACAATTTAAACATATTTGAACAACTAGACCGGACCACACATATTTGCTGTAGAGTCATGCGAGTCATAAAAATGTATTGATATCTCCAAGCCACGCAGGACTTCTCTGGAAAGCCTCCATCTTCTTTCTGGGCTGCCAGCCACTCTAAAGCCTCTGCGTGCACCACTGTCCGCTCATTGCTCGCCTGGTTCTTGTGCTCTTGGCTTGGCCGGCCGTTCTGGTGCCACAGCAGATCGAAGCAACGAGCAGGGGAGCACGGAAGGCACATCGACATGAGTCGGGAGCAAATCAGGCATGTCCGGCAGGGATTCGTGGGTAGTGCTTTTGGATCACATAATGAATGGAAATGACACGATATGTAAATGGAGGTGGACATCAAAGGGCAAAACACACCAACTGAAGAGTGTATAAACAACATCTTCAGCTTGCTTCTGTAGTTACTTTGTATTTATTCATTTGGGCGTTTGGAGCATTCAACTCGTTGCTCCAAGCCATCCATGAGTGGGTTCTCCAACATCTCTAAATGCCTGGTCAATGACGAGGAACAACGCTCACAGACGTGGTCTCTTCCTTTCTTGATGGGTCCATGTTTGAGTGCTTCCGGCTGCGCATGGTATCAGGAACGCAATGTCAGCCTGTGAATACAGCATACTGTATAAGACATAAACCCACATCAAATGCCAAATGCTGCTTTGGAAGCCGTTTTAGTTGGAGAAGCACAGAACAGCATAGCAACAAAATCTGGAATATCTCGCCGAAAGCCATCCGCACCGTTGTCACAAGAGCTTCTTGACATTTTTTAACATTCCTAATGCTCTTCCAGGACTTTGCAAGGAGAAACTGTCTTCCAGGTCCCTCAAACAATGTGCTGCATTCTCCAAAGTGCCGTGCAGAACCGAATTTCCCGAGATTCCTCCTAATCTTTTCTAGATTCTGGGATATCTACAGATATCTACAGCACAGCATCTCGAATCTCATCATTGGTTCATGAATCCATACCTTTCAGGGGGAGTTTGCACTCTTGTTCATTAACGTAGCCATTAGACTTGCATCACATTCTCCTAGCATGGGAGTTTTTGCATTGGCTCACTCGTGACCAAAAACTGCTTGACCTCGTGTCGTCGCCCTCGGAAGGCCTTCTCCTGGGTCAATCTCCAGGACTTCTTTCAGAGTGGTCTCTACTGCAGAGAGGATGCCATGTTGACCTGGCGGAAATCGACAGACATCCCAAACTCGAACGACGAAGCAAGGCGTGACGTGAGGGACGCGAGGCTCAGGCACGACAGGCCCGTGTTAGAGGGACCTCCAAAATCAGCAGGAAGATCGATGGGTGCCTAGGAAAAAAGAATTCACTTCCACTTCCATGACAGTTGGATGGAGGCTGGTGTGGAAAGAAGTTTGATCGGTTGGCTGGTGATTGAAGTAGAATTGAGATGGGCATGCTTGAGAAAAAGAAACACACACACACATTGAAACAACAAACTGTGTGGTGTTGCCACGAAGAACGCCATGATATGGCTCGTTTGTCTGATGCTTGTGCTTGACATCGCAAGAATCAGTCCCAAACAACAAGAAGCCTTCTCTGGTGAAATTGGTGAAATAATACAATGTGCGGAGTGAACCTCTATATTGGATCTGCATGATCACACAAGACCCCCTCAAAGGGTACCATCCTCCAAACCATTCAAGATGCCAACACTCCAAACCAAACTGCGCCAAACTTCAGCCCTAAAGCAAGACGTTGACTGCGGAACATCTGGGAACATCTCCTCACTGTCTGCGCTGACTGACTGGCCGAGCGTCCGAAGGCGCCACCCAGCTCGGAGCTCGCGGAGGCGGCCGCCTCCTGCGAACGGAGGCACTAAGACCACCATTTTGGCACGAAAGACGACGGGAAGAACCATGTTTCAAAAGAAAATGGTCCAGAAATCATCCAAATGCTTCAACAAGAGGGGTCTCCTCATGTTGGAACAACACTAATATACGCATATAGGTTGTTTGATTCCGTGATTCTGTTCCGGGTTGCCTGATGTTGAGAGTCGCCAGTGTCATCATATCTGAGCACAAATTGGATTGAACATCCCAAACACAAGGTTTCCAAATGGCTTACGTTCTTCAGTGTCTGTGATCTACTTGTAATGGTCAATGTCGACAATTCAGAAAAAATGCATCACATAACATTATATATCATTACAGATTGCACAACATTATGTAAATTATGTAACCTTACTGTACATAACACAACATTGGATACAACTAAGATTACATTACATTACATGTCATTTCATTAGACTACATTGCACTAGACTACACTACACTACATTACATACACTATATATAAGGCCTCTGAAACAAAGAAGATTGAACACCGATTCAGCATTTAAAAAGAACAAAAGCGGCAGCAAACAACATTTGTCTTGTCGCCTCGTCTGGCTCACTGCGAGCGTTCAGGGTCGGACTACTTGGAGGGCAAAATTGAGGGAAACGGGCCGGAGAAAAGATCCTTTTCTTCGACAGAAAAAAGAAAGGAACTTCCGCCATGCATCTTTGCAGGTCTTTGCAGGTCCTTGCAGGTCCTTGCACCCTCTGAAAAGGCTAAGGGGTTATAGAACCTAAGAAAATCTCTGATCTCATCTGCATCCACCCTGAAATCAACCAGAATGGCTGACCTGATTCGTCTTAGCAACTTGCATCGATTCACATGATATCCAATTTTGCTGTTTGTGCTGAAGGATGATCAGCGCTCCGAAGTGAGCCTGAACCTGAGCCTGAGTTACTTGGGACTATATAATGATCTATAGGGGCATTGTGATTTTCAAATGTTTGGCTCACATGTAGTAGACATGTAGGTTCACTTGTATTCATAGCTGATTCAATTCAAGAAAGTAGAAGAACTTCACATCAGGATGTCAGCAACTTGGAGCACAATAGGTGTCAGGATAGGATGCCACTGCTGCACTCAACATTGCATTGGACATAAAGAGCTTGCGGCTGTTCCGAGAGTCAGTAAGATTCATTAAGTCCATGACTCGTTGCTTCCCTCGACTCATAGCCTCATGTTGTGTCACTCACATACTTAATATATAATCCGATATGTTTGGTGTATTTGCCTGTATTGCCTTCTAATCCTTCCTTCCCTTCGTTCGCCCGCGCGTCTTCCGATCGTTCGCCTCGGTGAGGAGTTGGGACAAAGGAACCACTTCCACACGGAGACTTCCTGAGACTTCCGAGCGAGCTGGTGGAAGAAGGAGGAAGTTTCTTCAAACTGAAGGAATGGATCTGAACTAGGTTTTGATAGGGTTTGCTGTCTGCCCAGTCTCTCCTGTGGTCTTGTAAAGAGTCCATAAGAGTCCATGGAATGCTGGATAGTTACAACAGGTAGCTGGGGTCCTAAGTGTCAATCTCCTTACTCCCCCAGCCCTGGCCAATGAGCCACTCAAAGCGTTTCATTACATTGAGGATCTCTGCTCTGGGGCCGGAATTGCTTCCTTTGACCTGAAGGCGATGAGGTCGTGTTGGACGGAGCCTCAGCACTGAAGCAGCGGAGCAGCTGATGAACAAAGAACACGTGTAAGGAGAATCTCAAACACTCCAAACAGGTGTCATGGACTGTGTCATGGCTGTCATGGAGACCAAACCCCACCCCCAAACACCCCAAACCTGGGCAAATCAGATCACGAAAAGACATGAATCTGACGCCATGAAAGCTCCAATTGCCTGACAATTCCCAGGCGTGAACCCTTTGTAGTTGGTGGACGCAATGGGGGCGATTCTAACATGATCTAACCAGATGTCGAAACAGGCCTCGGGTCGAACGACCTCAGGTCGATGGAAGTCCAAACCCAGCCGTCAGGTTGTGTGTCAGGATGCCGAACCGCAGCAACATGGTTGCAGCATGCTTTAGTGAACCTGTAAATCGGAAAACTCTTAGGGAAGCGTTCCATCAAATTAGGAAAGGAGGTGTTTAAGGTATTTTCAGGTTGCCTAAGTCCTGCTGAAAAAGGCAACCTGTATCAATCTGTGCTGTCTTCATCCTTTGCATGTCGAAAGAGGCCTCACGGCGGAAGGACCTCTTGCAGAAGAAGAAACTCACGAGCAAAAAAAACCGTTGAAACATTCAAATCCATTGTTTTGGGCAAGGGTTATTGAAAGGATCACCTGAGTTTTGGCTAAACGACGTAAAACTCAGTTGATCCATCACTACACAAATCTAGTCACTAGCCTTTTCTGGACCTTGTGACCGATCTTGCAGACCCGCCAAGCAGTCCTTCAAGGTCACCAGATTCCGCCAGAGTGCCATGGTTTCCATAGTTGAAGGCTCCAAAGATCAAGCCAACAAACTCCTCAGCTGCACCGCGCTGGAGTCCACAGCATGCTGCACCACAGCCACACCAAAGAAAGGGTTTGCGCAAGATCTTTGGTTTCTGAGTTGACCAAACGAGACACCAAAATTTCCTTGAAAAAAACGGCATGAACAGGTAGAGCTACGGTTTCCTCTCCATGTTGGTGCCAAAGTTTACTGCGTGACATCTTATTATTACTATGTAAAATGACACAGTATAAAGAAAATATTGAATGAATGCACACAAACAATGAACAAAGTCCCCCTTGATTGTTCATAGGCGGCTCGATTGTTCATTTTATAAACAATTTGTGCATATAAAATGTGAGGGGTAGGTGTTTTTGTTAAAAAATACACCAACTAGTTTATAAAATGACCAGCATTGGTCATGATAGGTTAAGATGGAAATCTACATCCAGGAGAGACAATTTATGAAATTATGAAATAAAAATTGCGAATCGGGAATGTCCGCAAAATGCCACATCCATAGCCTTTATGGGTTGACTTGCCTTCTATTACTGTCATTCACTCTCCAGATCTTAAGTAGTTATCCCACATATTTTGCAAAAATACAGGCCCTTTATGAAATATCCTTTGGAAACTGCATTTCATAAGAAAAAAGGATCGTCATTTCATAAGGCTTCAGTCGTGGGGGATTGAAAAAACACTCCCGAAACAGCTACCCAATCAGGGAACTGCTTCAGGGAATCGTTAACACGATGTTACACGAGACTGTTCCTCTCAGAAACCTTGCTGTGAAAAGAAAGTGATTTTTGGTGTTAGAAAATCGTTTGTTGACGTGTTGCTTTGGCTGGTTCTATGTCTCCCCTTCTCGCAAAACTGTTGGCGCGTTTGGCAAAAAGTGGTCAACAATTCTTCTTGGGTATGGTGATGTTCCTGAGGTCGCGCTACATCTGCCTCAGTGGGTCGGCTAGCCTTGTTGTTTGTCTTGATGCGAAACACGACGCTGTTCTTTAAACATTTCTCTTTGCATAGATTGGTATAGTTTTGTCCATCCAAGAGAGCGACCACAGAAAACGGAGGTTTGGAAATCAAGAGCACAGAAGTTATCAAAATTGTTTCTCTTGGGTTTGGTGTTCTGTCTGTAGTTGGAAGGCAGGCACCAAAGGCCTTTGGCACCAGCCGCGGCCTGAATCGGAATCACCTCATGTCTGGGCCGCGTCTATGTTGGGCACAGATCGATATACGGTGTCACACGTCATCCCAACTATTCGGCTATGGTGGAAGCATCTTGCAAACACATTCCTTCTGGTGGCATCAAAGATCTTGAAATAACAAAGCTGCAAAGTTGGTATGGTGTGTGCGGTGTGTGCCATGGAAACTTATGACATCTACTTCGTCCTCGCCCCTGCTGCAGCCTCCAGCTGGCAGCGAGGACGTGGCCTTGGGGGGCTCCTTTTCCGTGCCAGACGCGCCAAATGTTCGCCGCTGATCATGTGCGTTAGCGCTGACGGTTTTACATTTCTGCCAGGCCAGGGCTTCGTCGAGCCAGCCAGCTCCGGGCAGCTTTGGTCCGGGCCCCAGCGCGCAAAATTTTCACACCAATGATGTTTCTTGTCTTTTCACAACAGAACCCTCTGGCCGCCTTTGCGGACTGCTCCCTGGCCCTGGCCTGGCAACAAAATGCAAGCTCTTACTGCTCACGAGGTTGTAAGAAGCGCCCTCAGAAGGAAGCGTTCCACATCGCAAAGCTCTCATAGGAGGTGGCTGAAGACACGTAGGATGTGTGAACCGCGAATGAAACAGTCAGCCAACAAGATGTGGGTTGGGGAGCACTCATGACACATGACATGACAGCTTGTCAAGTATTTTTGGCACCACCATCTGTGCAGCTGGATGACACGGCGCTTGTAATTTTGTGATCGGAAACCGGAATGGACAAAGTCAACCCCGTCTTCGCGCCTCCGGAAAATGTCAACGGCGCAATCATTGGCCAAGCATTGGAGACCTATACGCCTAAAGTGGACGGTGGTGAGCGCATGAGAGATGGTGAGGTGACATGGAGAACCGCAGCAAGGTGAGCGAATGGGCGAACGATCAAATCAATATAGTATGGTTGAGATGAAGGTCATCGTGTAGGTTGTCACAAAACGTTTGCGAATGCACTTGAATCCTCCTGTTATGCTCTTCATCCCCTTCTTGTCCTCAGGCCGCGCTCGTGAGCCCAGTGTCCGCGCTGGCCAACCCCATTTCTCTACCGCCGTATGTTTCTATGATACCATCCTCGGATCTTCTCCTCACATATATAAATATGTCCCTGCATTTTTGCGCGTGCGACCCGGGAATTTCTTCAAGCAATGCCATTTCCAATCAGCTGGAATCGACGGGGATTTTGTAGCAAACGTTGCCAGCCATGCAGCCATGATAGCCAGCAGCGCCGCCCACCCTGTCGCGCACTCTCTCCAACAACGACAAATTGCCACATGTTCGTCGGGGTCGTGCTGCAAACAATCAAGGCAAATAGCGGTGAAGAGGCCCCACTCAAAGTTGGACTCTATATGGAGGCCGTGGAGGCTGAGGTCAAGCCATTGGCCCACATATTGGACCAAGGCAACTTGGGTCGTGTGGGGGCCTTCGCTGACCAGCGAGCCAGCATAGGGCTTTGGAAAGATAGCATCAGTTGTCAATGAAGTTCACGGCATCGTTTCCCGCCTCAACCTCCTTGGGAGCTTTGCCACCAAGCTTCTGGCGTGGAGGAACTCTATCACTGGTGGATGGCGGATCATAGTGCACAACCTGCTGGCCCTCTGGCAAATCTTCTTTGTTGGGCAAAAAGTCCTCAGGGAAAGCAGTGCTCTGACGTTTGAGTTGTTGGCAAGGATCGCACTTGCCTCAACCAGCTCATCTGCCCAGCAAGGCGACCTAAGGTCTAGTGTTGAGGTTGCGAACTGGTGAGCTGCTTGCGGTTGGTTTGGTAAGTCTGGGTGTGTGTTTGTGTGGGTGGGTAAGTAAGGAGTGAGTGAGCAAGTGGGTGGGTAGGTGGGTGGGTTTGTTGGTTATGTGTGGGTGTGGTGTTGCGTGTGTCCGTGAAGGTGTCGAGTCAGTTGGCAAAAGAGCGAACCCTAGAGACAACATTCAGCGAACGGCCCTGGGGCCCTATGGCCTCTTTGTGCGTGGCTAGAATTTGCACATGAGTGATGACCAAAGCTATCTTGCGGAAAAAAGAAATAGCTAAACGGTATTGTTTATATGTGCCGGTATCGTGTTCCAAGGAAGAGTAAATATTACATTACATCACTTTTTACCCGTAGAAACAGCAGCAACCTCTTGTTTCTTACAAGCTAACGTCGCCGAGGATTCTTGCAGTCAGAAGGATTGTGAATCTAGGCCAGGGTCTAGCAAAGCAGATTTTCGTAGGTGTTGGCATCGTTTTGGGTATCGGTTTGATATCGTTGTTTGTTTCGCTCCAGCAAATCAGCAAATCAGTTTTTGGAACGCCAAACACACTTATACTTGGCCATATTGAAAGAGCAAAAACATAGTCATCCTAGTCTCGGTCCATACCGTGTATTTCACAGCTTAGAAACAGCAGCAAGCAGTTCATCCAGATGCACGTGCAAATCCACTGAAACAGGCATCGTTTTTCATATGCTGGTTTCATTTTCCATGGTTTGTCAGAGTTTGTCTGAAATCTCTTTGAACATATTCCACGTAATTATACATATATATATATAATACTGCTGAGGCGAACCCTTTCGAAAGTTGCTCACATACGTCTCAGACAACGATGTCCATTGTCCAAAACGATGTCCAGCACGTCTCCGCATCCATTGTCCGCTGGAACGGAACGGATCGGATGCCGTCCAAGTTTCAGGATCCATGGACTGGTACTGAAGCTGGGTTCGGAGGTCCACGTGGCTCGGAAAGCAGGTGATGTGCGGATGAGAATGATACCTGTTTTCAAGCAGGGAAAGGCAGGCGGCAACAAAGCAAAAGAAATAGCAATCCTGAAAATTTGCAGATGGTTTTGCAGCATTTGGATCATGCCAGGGGTTATCAGCAAAGTCCAAAAAAATAATGGCACATAGAAAATTATTCCCAGCCTAAAACACTCAGCTAGTCGTGAATGAATCAAACGATGTGTCGGAACGGAGGCATGGCTGTCAAACAAATCTCACCATCGCAGACATTCACGTGCCATGGCTGTCATGGTCTACTATATCGCAGGTATTGGCAGGTGACTAGGGCAGGTGCTGATACTTCTCCCACTGCCAAAACAAAACATCTTTTGTTCAAGCGCATTGGTGTGTTTCATGCAACGTCGACCCTGTGCTATGGCGAACTTCCGATGAACAGCATGCTTGTGCTGGAGTTCTTCACCGTGAAATGGACAAACATGATGCAGCGCACCACCAAGAATGTACCAAACAAGTTGTCTAACCAATGGGAAGGTCCGCTGAATACTCTCAAGGTCTCAGTTCATGATGTGTTTATCCTTGGGTACATGCTCTATTGGAAAAAAACAATCCACGTGTGAAAAAATGCGAAGATCTGCAGGCACCATCCCACCACACGGCAGCTGCACTTCATGACCTGGGTGCAGCTGCGACCGACCAAAACAGACAAAGTCCAAGAGTCGTATTCAAAACTGGTCAAAGACGGTCGCATTCTACCGCCCTGTTTTTGTTTCCCCTGAAAAAACGTTACCAAAAAGACAGCGTGTGGAATTATTATATGGAATACTATGGAAGGGGTAGTTTGCAGAGACTGCATCCTGAAAGGCCAATAAGACTGGAAGAGAAAGGCAGTCTGAATATTACAGCCATCTACAGCCACTCAATGTCCAATCCCTTCTTCAGCCTCGTAGTGCTACCTTCTGATACTTTCAAGACTGGAAGGTTCTTGCGTGCCCCCTATGACCATGCATCATCGCATGGCCCCCTCAAAGGAGGATCCTTGTCATCAATGAAAACAACATGAATAATATGAATTCAGCGCGTTCAGGTAATCCCGCAAGTTCATACCACGCTCAATTCCATGACTGTTCTGAATTTTAGACATGCTATAAAGACGTCCATCACCACTCTACTGTAGCTGCCTTCCCCACGCGCCCCCACCTCTTTCAGCTTCTCCGCCAGCTCCACCGCGGCCACCAGTTGCTCTGGCGCAATCTCCACCCGGTCCGGGCGCTTGTCGCTCCGTTGCCTCGGTTGGACAGCCCAGGCATAAGATCTGTCGCATGGATGGTCCGGGGATTTAAAAACACAAAAAAAATCCACTGCCAGGTGGAGAGTAATTCGATGATCTGTCGATCTGCTTGGATTCATCGAATCTTGGGCCCATCTGCGAGGCGAGTGAAGTGGGGAGCACTTCAACATACTTCAACCGGCGGAGCTTCGACCAAGGCATCTCTGATCCACATACACCAATTGAGTGCGGTCGAAAGATTTGCGAGCAACGACAACAAGAAGTCAGGAAGACAAACCTCCGAGAACGGTACAGAGCAACAAATCCTGGAAAGAAACTGAGAGAATGGAGAGAATGGAAGGGTCTTGGGAACATAGAGGGTAAAGTAAAGCCCTACATTGTAGGTTCCAAATCGTGGTGGGAATTGCTCAACCTGGCTGCTCTCAAGGATCTGCAAAAGAGCTGGAGACACAACCCGTCCTAGTCTGGTTAATGGCTTGAATGAGAGGGCCTTCAAAGAGCCTATCTGCTTAAGTGACAAGTGGTGTCAATATTAGGATTAGCAAGTACAAGTGAGGTGTGACTTGCATGTTGCACCTCCATGCTCCAATAACCTGAAGCGTCATGCAGCGAACACTGCTACTGAAAGAGTGCCCCTGATCCGATGTTAACCATTGCCCTATAGCACAAATCACTAATCTTAACTTAACAGAAACATGCGAGGCAAACTGCAGTACTGATGAGCTGTTTGAACGGTCAATTCAGAATATTTACACCAAACTAATGACAATTGGTTGACCTCGAGACCAATTCTTCAGAACTCCTATCTCCAGTGCAAGCCCAATTCAAAATACATGAGTCTACAAATTTATACAGATGCTACAAATCAATACGAAAATGGCTGTAAACGGCGAATTGGCATTTTCTCTCGAAGAGAACAAGCAAATAAGGCACTATAATCATTATATAAATAGCTGCAGACTTCTGCATGTTTCCTCAGTTTGTTGTGCGCCATTGATCCGTTGGGTTTCAAGAATTCAGCCAAACAAACGATTACAGAAAATTGTCAATCGTAAGAATGAACAATATATGTTTAGAGCTAAAATCCAGTAGAAAAAGTATAAATACTCACAGCAACAGTATCACAAGCATTTATGCCATGCTTGTCGCCAAGCACATTGCAAGGCCACTGCTAATGCATTGATTCATGTCAGGGTCTACATGCACTTGCCGATGTAGACGTTCGCAACTGCAGGGTCGTGCAAGTCTGACACGGCAGTGCAACCCCGGCGACCTCCCCCGTGCGACCCGGGTCACAAGGTCATTGATGCCCAAATCTTCACCTTCGGAGCCGTTCTGCTTCTTGCTACTAGTAGTAATGCCCCTTGTCACTAGTAGCTTCTTGCTCCTAGTAGCGATGCCCTTTGTTACTAGTAGCTTCTTGTAACACCAGACTAACACCATTTGACCACACCCAAGTCACGTGTTTGACAGTCGGCGCTGATGACGCGCTGATGTTCTTTGGTGCCAGGCCTCATGTTCCACGTCTCCCAGCAGCAAGCCCATGACCTCTTCCCGTTCAGTCATCAGCGCATGCGCCAAACACGCCTCAATGCAATCATCTACCTTCGTTCACCCAGTCGAGTTGTTTCAGCCAATGAGGCCAGCATGAGCCGAAAGAGAATACTCTTGACAAAAAATAGACATATCACGAGCATCATGGCTGAGAGGGGTACATTTGTCGCTTGAATCAGCCTACAAAGTGTAAGCCCTCATATTGCAACCTACTGTCCCTCTCTCTCCCTGTCCCTCTCTGGAAATAGTCAGTTGAGCACCTACTGGGCAATAGAGTTCTTGGCCTGGGTTGGCAAGTCCTGAAAAAGAACAGACACAAAGAAATAGAAATGGTTTGTATTAGAGTATAATATGTACAGTACAGTTCTTTTGAAGGAAAGGTGGGTTCTGGAGGATACCATATACTGTAAATATAAACATACCATCTGAACACAAGCGAGAAGCAAGGTACAGCAAACACTCTTTGATTCTTCGGCTTCCAAACAGAAGCTGGCCAAAGACCCCAAGTCACCAGCTTACTGATCAAAGTGCTAGTTTATGCTAGTGTAATTATTTGGTGGTTCCATCGCTTACAAGGCAGCTGGAGAGTATTGCAGTTGGTGTTGAGGGCCCAATCCGATCCCTTTCACACAGGGTCGACGCAAGAACTAGGCCATTCGCCTTCAACTTCAGATCTCCATCCCTTTGCCCCACGAATCGACAAAGCCGCCAAGCAGCGTGATAGACATGGTCCGAGATTAGAACCAGGCCATCTAGGCCGTCTCGCAGCTCCATGAAACTCGCAGCTCCATGGCACTGGAGCTCCGAAAGTGGATCAACGAAGCGGCCACCGTGACGTTCTTGCCCTCCCCCAAAAAAATAGACAAAGAAGAAGAAGAAGAAGAAGAACAGCTCCGAAGAATTTAGAGATTCTGAGATGAACAATGGCAGTGGAGCCTCTACAAATTGTAGTCTTTCCTGTTTCTAGCGGGGCGCGGCATTTTCTATGGTATCAGTCATTGACTGCCAGTTATGCAAAGCTAGGGGATTGGCCTCTCCCGCACTCCACCGGCCTTGCAATTTGTCCCTGTCTCCTTGCCAAGATTGAGGTCTGATTCAGTCTGATCAGCTGGATGATATGTCTTCTGATTATGTTCTGTCACTTCTGTGAGTCGCACTTGGTCACAATTGGTCACTTTGTTGATGTCACGTCATGTCTGTCAGCTTCTGTGCGGGCATGGGCTGATCTTTGCAGTTGTTCATGGCTGTCTAGGAGCTGGTGCACCCAACTTTCCAATGCAGCAGCTCAGTCAGAAGCTCAACAACTCGCTGGGTGAGGTCACCCAACGACAAGCACAGTCGGAAGCATGAACAGCACAAAACGACCATGTGCAACCTGTCTCAAGACGTTCACAGAATGATCAAGATCTTGAGAATCACAGGAATTGACAAATTCAGAATGTTTCAACCTAGCAAACATGTGCACAAGGCTGTCTCCTACCAGCCCGGGGTTTCAAGCGCAATGTTTCTCGAACTCTGCTGCTCTGTTTCTTGGGGTGCATTGATCGTCTTGATAATCGGGCGAACGGCTGTATTTGGCCCAGTACTATGGACACAGTTGCACTCCATGTTGTGGCACCATGCAAGTGCACAGCAACAGGAACACACGGATGTGAGTTGCAATGCCAAGAGATGTATTCAGATGCCCATGAGCCTCTCAAAGCCTATAGTATATGTTGTCTCCTTCGCGCTGGCCTATTCTAGGGAGTACTATCCAGCAAAGTCAGCAGAAATCAGTGCCACATCACATTCAGTTGACCGGTCAACCCATGCAGGTCAACCTAGATATCACCACTACATGTTGGTAGAGTTTTCAGGTATCATAAAATTGTACAACTTGTGATTGTAATTGCATTGTTGATAGGTAGCTCGTATTGCTTTGTTGATATATTTGTTTTTGGAGTCCAATCAATGAACTATAAGTCAGTTGAAATGACTGTGGGTGAGATCCCTACTGACAGAGCCACTCAGTTCGCTCCCAAGAGAGAGAGCATGGCCTAGTCATTTCCTCAGACTCGCGACGACCCAACTCTGGCCCAAAGGCCCAGCGGTCGCGGTCGCGGTGTTCGAGAAAATAGAAAACATATCCACCATGTGGCAAGAACTGTTTATTTGTTACATGGTGTATACTTAACATATGCTTACTTGGTATATTATATGTTACATGGTGTTAATTGTTTATTTGTTGACATATGCTTACACTACACTGGCGCTACAGCTATGGTGTGTTTCCCCAAAAAGAATACACCGTGCGCCCCTTAAACCGCCAGTCTCTAGGACTCTATGCCTTTCCATGTCTGGGGACCCCACAATCCCTGGCGCGGGTGCAGTCTGGTGCCATGTAGCTCTGAGCCGCGGCAGGCGATGGCTGAGGTTGAGGTGGGGGGCTCTTCAATATGATCATTTTGAGAGGATTCCCTGAGACCAGTCACAACAAGGCCCACAAGGTGAACAAAAACAGCCCAAATGGGGGGCGACGCGGTGAGGTTTGGGTACGCTTTTAATTTGGGAATTTTTTCATTTTTTTTCGGGAATTTTTTCAGAATCATCCGGTTGACATTTTCCTGCTAATTGCCGCAATTGAGGGTCCTTGCACGACAAACAGCTGCCGTAGCGGGCAAAATAAAAACATTGGAATAGAGCAGGTTTCTTATTAATTCCTAGCTAATTACAGAAATTTCGGGTCCTTAGCAAAGACACAGGTGTCGCTGGCCAAATACATTGGAATAGTGCAGGTTACATATGTTTTGCTAGCTGACTAGACCAATTTGGTATATCTAGCAGAGACAGGGCTGTCGTAGCTGGCAAAAAACATTGGAATAATGCAGGTTTCTTTGTAGTTCCTAGCCAATTACATCAATGTCGCGTCCGTAGCAGAGACACAGGTGTTATAGCTGGCAAAATACATTGGAATAGTGTAGGTGACAGAGAAATTCCGACCTATCACAGAGTTTGAGAAAGAGCAAAGAGAAAGAGAACTGGCGTAGGAGACATATTTGGGGTCAGAAGGTTTGGCCCTTATTCATTGCTAGCTGAGTAGAGCCCTTCGCATCTCCACTTAGGTGGCGTTCGTTGGGTTCTGGTGGCTAAATGCAGGTGGCCATGCAAGCAACCATGCAGCCATGAGTTTGGACGACAATGAGAAGCTCTGGCGCAAATCCTTTTTACAGCGCGTGTGCCCGGCGTAGTGCGAGTAGCCGGTCACGCTGAGACAGGCCCTTAGAAGCAAGCAAGAGTATGAGGGCGCAGACAGGAGTAAGCGGAACGCATTGTGCAGCCGAAGGAACTCTCCACAAACGAGGCGAGGCCTCCAAAGACATGGCTGATCGAAAAGCTAAAGGAACATCGATAAAATTGAAGAAGTCACAAACTAGTACGAGGCCTGCGGACTGCTATCTGGACAGGCTTCCTAAGAGAGGGCAAAAGAAGAAAAGCAAAAGAGAATGGCAAATCGACAGCCCTACTACGGCACGAGTGGCGAAAGTACAGACAGCATGAGGCCCGGACCCCGCTTTGCGGCGTACTTTGTGCTCTTTTGGCCTGGGTGCTTTCGACATGTTGTTGGATGCGCCCGAAAAGGGACACGCAGGGAGCACTAAGGTGTTCACAACACTTGCTGAAGCCTCTCATGTGACAAGGAATCTCAATGGGAAGAATCTGATAGCTGAAGCCAATCGAGCATATTATGTTCCAGGCCTGCGGAGCCGTATGTGGACAGTTTTCCTGACGGAGAGGCGAAGAACCAAAAGCAAAAGCTCACACAGCCATGGGCGATAGGTTTGAGGCCCTAACCCCGCTGTGTGGCATACTTTCGGGTCTGCCTGCCTGGGCGCTTCGAACATGCGGTTGGAGGAGTACGAAAAGAAACACGCAGCAGAACTAAGGTCTTCACAACACTTGCTGATACCTCACACGCGGCTTAAAGGAAATCTCAAAAGGAGATGTTGGCTGAGAATTGCAGTGCCATATTTACAGTTCTTTCACGCAGCAGCACTAAGGTCTTCACAACGTTTGCTGACGCCTCACATCTAAGATGAAGAAAGGTAGCGAGAAGAAAATGACAGCCCGGGCCAATCGAACATGCGTAAACAGTTGGAGCCAAAAGCTTGGATGTAACAGGCCTGCGGGCCGCTATGTTGGCAGTTTTCCTCAAGGAATGCAAAAGAAAGAAAAGCAAAAGATTACGGCAAAGCGACAGCCCTACTATGGGGAAAGTGGCGACAGTTGGGCGGTATAGGTATGAGGCCCTGACCCCGCTGTGTGGCATGTTTTCTGCTCTTCTGGCCTGCGCGCTTCAAGCATGTTGTTGGAGGCGTACGAGAAGAAACACGCAGTAGTACTAAGGTCTTCACTGCACTTGCTGACGCCTCAGGCAAAATCTTGTTGTTGGAGGCATACAAAAAGAAACAAGCAGTAGCACTAAGGTCTTCACCGCACTTGCTGATGCCTCACGCAAAATCTTGAAAGTATATGGAAATGTCAGTGAGAAGAACATGGTGGCAGCTCCAAAGTTCTTTCGCACAAATGCTCCCAGCCTCGTCTTTCAAGGTCGACATCAAAATGTGAGCTTCGGAAACCTTCATGCCGAAGATCGTGACGAAATCAGCAAAGCCAAAGGATGAAAGAGCTTGGACCGTCGCGCCGTGCCGCTTCATGGCCGGGAAGTAGTGGCCGCAGCCGGCGCGACGGAGCAATTCTCGCAGGACGGACTCCGAAGCAGACAAGGCCTGCGACTGAAGTACATCTGCGGAGAGAGGCGTGGCTGGAGAAGCTCTCGAGACAGCTGGCCCTGGAGTCAGGGTGCCACCGGGCGGACAATGCTGTGAGCGTGTCTTTGGCCGGCCCTTGGGCCGTGGACGCGGCAGCTGGACCACATCGATGGTGTTTTGGTGGAGCATGAGGGAGTACGCGTGCTCGCATGGCCCCCAGCGTGCGGCCACACCGCAATTGAAGCACAGGCAAAAAGCATGTGGATTGCGATCCGCCTCCGGGCAAAGTGGCGCGCCATGCAGTTGCCAGTACTGCTCGCAAATTGGGCCTTGCACCACCAAGTTCCAATCATCAAAGAGCTTGGCAGCCTTTTGCCACTGAAAGTGTCCGGTGGTGGACTCATACAAACCCAAGCTGTCAAGGATGCTTCGAACTTGGTCGGGGCTTGTGGCCTGCACCAGCTTGACACAGGCATTGACTGTGGAGGGCGCGAGTGGGGAGAAAGACCGTTCCTTGTATTGCTTCTTTTTCTGGTTTGGGCGTGGGTGTCAGACTGATGTGATGGGCGGCTGGAACTGGAGGTGTGGTCACCGGTGAGCTGGCCTGAGGAGGTGGCACAGGAGGTGGAGGTTCCTGTTGGCAGGAAGAGGCAGAGGCATGGCAACCACCTTCGCGGACAAAACCTCTGCCTAGTAGGGGCGGAAGAGACCCTTGTGCCACGCTCAAATCCACAAGCGGAGGCGGGACCCCCGAAGCAAGATTGGCATGACAAGGCTCGTAATGGCCAACATCAGAGTGCGCCTCTTGTGTGAAAAGCATACATGGAGTTGCCGGGAACACTTTGGCCCACTTGAGTGCGGTGGCATAAGACACAAAGAAGGGAGCACTCTGTGGCAGGAACAAGAAAGCACCCTTGGAGGGGTTGTGAGCTATGAGCAATCCATGAGGATAATGGCACGAAAGGGCTGTGACCAAAATTCTGATTTGGTGATCAGAGGTGGCTGCAGAAAGCAAGGACCAAGCGGCATCCAAATTCCAACCAAGGACTGCTTGCGCAAAGTCAACAGCACGAAGCATGAGGTGTAAAGCGGGGACGCCCGTGTGGAAGCTGCTTGCGAACCACCAGCAATGACTTGAGGTCATGCTGGTCACTGCCGAGACATTCAGCAAAGAAAGGAAAGTACGAGTCTCATGGTTCAGTGGGTCGGAGACCGGACAACTCGAACTGTGTGGTGCATGCGGCTCGTTGATTTGTTGGCATTTGCAGTGCAGACTCGAAATCCATAATTTCCACAAAGACTGCCCCTGGCGGTGCTTCACGCGTCGAATGGCAGAGCGAACAGGGGCGCTGTCCAAGTCCAAGACAGCCAGGTTCTTTGGGCACATAAACTCGGTAGAGTATGCCAGCCGAACAAATTTCGATTCCAAAGCACCACAGTCTACAGGGAGCATGGCATATCCATCCACAACAACCACGGGTCCACCAGTGAGAAAAATGTCCCCCGGGCGTGCGTGGGAGGAGGATTCGTACGATGTTGCGGCGTCAAACAAGACAGCTTCTTCCCGAAGTGTGACAAAATTGGAGCCAGCAGGCTGTGCATATGAAGGTCCAAGCCACAAAGGAGTCGAGAGCCTGAGAGAAAGAATGGCAAATCCATGGACAAAACAGGTGATGGAAGGAGAAGCTTCTGAGCACTCGACAACGAAATGGCAGGCATCACTGGCTGGAAGAAAGGCGCAACGGTCACAATGTGATAGACCTTGACCTTAGGCGTTGGCTTGTGTCTGGGGGCCTGGTGAAAGCAATCTAAGCATCAGGCTTTGAGTCTGGCTGGAATGCTGCAAAGAGGTGCGTTTGAACCAGAGACGGTGCATGAGGACGTCATAGTAAAAGTAATAATAGTAGTAGTAGTAGTAGTAAGAGTAGTGGAAGTAATGCCGAATATCTATTTAAAAACAAACCCTTTTGTTTTGAAATTTGTGCCCTTCAAAGCCGCTACTAAACTACCAACGTTTGTGTATGAGGTTGACACAGAGACGAGATCAAAAAAAACAAAATAGAGATCAAACAAATAAAGGGACAACCAGTAGCTTTGTGGTATAAGAAAGCGACAAAGAGACGAGATAAACAAATGGACACAAAGGCAAAGTAAGGAGACAGAGAAAAGAAGAGTAAGCACACAGGCCCTTTCCCGGATGTTTGCTTAGTTAGATGGGTCGTCAAGCTGGAATGGCCACTTCCTCCTCTAAATTTTACCCTCGGGTGGCTTACCAAAGGGTGAGTCAACTTGGAATGACCACTTCCTTCTCTAAATTTTACCCCTGCCCTGCCCACAAAAGGGTGAGTCAAGCTGAAATGGCAACATCCTTCTCTAAATTTTACCCTCGGGTGGCTCACC